TCCCACATACAGCAACTAGAAGGATGTGCAGCTATGACATACAACTATCTACTGGGGCTTTGGGGGGAAAAATAAATTAAAAAAAAAACAAAACAAAAAAAAACACTACATATGCTTTAAAAAAAAAAAAGGTAGAAAATTAAAAATAAAACAAAGAAATTTTGGGAAAGCAAAATATAGATTAAGAGCCCCCCTGCCCTCCAAATCAAATAGACTATCATACCTAAATTTCTTTCACTTCAGAATGAAGAAATACTTGAAAGCTGTCATGATGGGGAGAACCCTGAGCCAGAACAGCTTGGCAGTCCTGAAGATCTTTGCCCCAGCAGGTAAGAGTGCAGGTTCCTTTGTAAAAGTCATTTTAACCTCTTGTGGGGGAGGGGTAGAATATCCTCTGTTTTAAATTTCATCACTTATCTTTCCCAGATAAAATCACATATTTATTCTGTATACTAACCTGCATTTATGTACCTGAAAATAAAACTCATGAATCTCATAAAAGCAACAAGCAAGAGCTGAAAGTAATATGTTATAAACCAAGCTTCCAAGGATACTGTTAAAAAACAAAATTCCACTGAGTAAATTTTAAAGATCTTGCTGGATTTATTTGGTGATGCGTGAATCGGGCAGCATCCCATCTAGCAGATAGAAAGGAGCTCTGAGGAGCAGAACAAAATGAAAGATTTTTATACACAGAAGGAAGTGGGACAAGGAAGTTATACTAGTAAAAAGGGATTGGTTGTGGCAAGGTCACCTCCCTTTGAGGGAAGGTGGGAGTCTTTCAGGCACATCACCTCACTAGTGCTGACCATGTGATTCCAGATTGACTGGTTTCAGATTCCACTCCTCGAAGAGGCTGAAACTGTAATTAAGTGAGGTATTAAGTCTTGGGTTGGTGATGTGGGGTTTAGTGTAAGTGACTCCATTTTGGGCCTGTCTTTTTTTTTAAACAATTACCTCCTTTTGATTGGGCTTTCAGCTTAACTGAGAGATATGATCAGAATTTAAGGCATTAACACCATTCTCAGCTGCCACTCTGAAGTTCTTGCAGTTTTTGCTGACCCTCTGTGTGGTATTCACAGGTTGTGACATTTTTTTGCTGAATCTCTGGTATCCACAGTTCATGACTTCGGGTTCACATTTTTTAATTGGTCATTCTCTTCATTCCTTTTCTGATGTTCCAGTCTTAGGGAGATCATTTGCTTCAGGGTTAGTGGCTGCAAACATTCACTTAAAGCTTTTGAGAGAATATAGCACACACAGGGAGACTACTATGATTATTATAAGCAGGGTAATTCCCAGTGTCTAGAGTACACTTCAGAGTCATGGTCCCCAAGACCCAAACCAATCAAAAGCAAATAAGTCAAAGAAAGACCCTGTTGAAGGAGTCACTTTCTTAAGCCAAGGGGCTTGTTCAGTGATCTCATGTAAGTGACTTTCAACTTCCCCAGAAGTGTTAATCCAGATGCAGCAAGTGGTGTTGGCCACAACACAGACACCTCCTTGCTCAGATAAAAGATAATCAAGAGCTGTCCTATTATCAAGAACAACTTTGGCCAGAGAGTCTAAGGAATTTTTATTGGGCAGCTATTGCTTTAGCAGCAAATTCTGCAATATCTTCAAGAGTTAAGGAGAGGTTCCTTATCATAGCCTCATTTGCACCTACTCCTAGCCAGGAGAGCAGTGATCTACCAAAGAAAGGAAATTTTGAATCATGAATGCCTCCTGGTAATTCCTGTTTGAGTCTGTGGCTCAGGACTGGAAAAGTGACAGCTATGGAGGCCATTAAAATTTAAGGGTCTTTAGAGCACACAGGCAGTTTTGTTCTGGTTACTCTTGCCTTGTCCCTTTCTTTGTAGAGAGCCTGGATGCAAGGTTCCCTGGGTTTGGAGTTGTTAACCAGAGGCAAGAAAATAGACCCCCAGGGTTAGAAAGCCTGACACGATACAGAGGGGGCTGAGTTTGTTCCACAGAAACTGAGGCATTGGAAATCAGGGAAAAGTTTGTGATGGGCAGAACTACAGGATCACCAGAATCATGGCAAATCCAACAGACATTTGGAGGTTGGATTACCCTCCTTTGCAATGGCCTGAGATATGTGAACAATGCTATTATCTTCCAGGCTAGAGCAAGGCAAAAGATGGACAAAAGAATCATAAAAGACCTTCATGGGGGCCAGCTCAGTGGCATAGTGGTTAAGTTCATGTGTTCCACTTCGGCGGCCTGGGGTTTGCAGGTTTGGATCCTGGGCACAGACCTATACACTGCTTATCAAGCCATGCTGTGGCAGGCATCCCACATATAAAGTAGAGGAAGATAGGCATGGATGTTAGCCCAGGGCCAATCTTTCTCAGCAAAAAGAGGAGGATTGGTATAGGATGTTAGCTCAGGACTAATCTTTTTCACCAAAAAACAAACAAACAAACAAAAAAGTGTAAGAATTAGGAAAAAGATGGTCAGAGAGGGATGGAGGAATGGAAAGAAATGTTCTTGATCTGACATCTTGGGAGGAAGCAGTCTGCCTCGATGTTGGCTACTTCTCTTCCTAGTCAATTCGATTTTGAGGTCTCCAGCCTTTGCACAGGACCAGATGTGAGGTGGGGCCTTCTTCAGTTGTGAAATATGCACCCAAGGGTTGACACCTTGTAATTTGGCAGTGGTGTCAGTGGTCAAGTGTTCTTGGTAGGATCCTTTCCATGAGTCTCACTTTTGTAAAAGCATCAGAGTAAAACAAAAACTGTCTGTTAATGACAAAAGACTTAAAAATCCCCATTGTTAAAGATCTGATGAGAGTTCATTATACTGGAGCTGACAAGGAAATTTGGTTATCTCTGTAACATACAATATTTTAAGATAATAACTAGAATTATGATTGATAACATTATACCAGGACATATCAGACTTTAGGAATTTCATACAATTTCTGGAACGTTTATAATGTATACCTATACAAATACAACATAGTATTCTTCTTAATTGACAATGCTTCTCATGTAATTTAACGTATCAAATAAGCCCAATTAGTTTAACATCTCCCTTTTTATAAGGAGAGAGGACAAATCTTTTAAGATATTTCAGGGCCCCTCTGGAAAATCCCCAAATTATTTTGAGGTCAAAAAGACTTCATTTAGAATTTGATTTGAGGAAGTTGTAAACAGTATCCATTTAACCAAAGTGACAATAGTAGATGTTAAAGGCAAATACAGAAGGTTACATAGTTGTGAGCAAAACTTTAGCTATTTTAATATTGAGAAGATTTGGATTTTCTTATGTAATCAAGTAGCTGATAAAGACAACGTGTAGCACAGTAAATTATTTTGTTGAGACACAAATTTTTGCTTTCCAGGTAGATTACCCAAAAGGTTAAAAACATAAAACTTTCACGATCTCTTATCAAGAGCAGGCCAATAATTCAAGAAAACTTTGTCGCTTTAACAGAGAGAAAACCAAATTCTAATTTTGCACCAGTGTATTTTTGGTATTAAAATTTACTCATTCATTTTTAAAAAAAAAAAAAAAACTTAATTAGATCCATTCCAATCTTAGCCAGCTTGACCACACATAAAATTCCTTTCCTAAGATTCCTTTTTCATAATCCTTATACAACTTTCTTTTTTACATTCAGATTTTGCTCTGTTTTTCCTCTTTCCCATTCTGAAATAACCAGCCTCACTCTAGGACAAAATTACTTTCTTTTCCCTCAACAAAAATGCATCTCTATTCTTTATACCTTCTCTTACTGAAAACACACATCATACTTTCCTTGCATACAGAGATGTTTTCCTTACTATTTCTAATAGCTTTAATTTATATATATTAGAATTTTTAACCCTTAAAAAAACCTTAATTTCTAGTGAAAATAAAGAAGTAAACAATTGTGAACTGTCTGTTACACCAGCATTCTTTACAGTGGCAAATTTATGAATACATTTCATAATTTCTAGAAACACATCCTTCCTCATAGTACAGTTTTTCAACGTGGCATGTTTACTAATAGACCCAAACATTTTTAGTTCTTCTTCAAAGGAAAGCCAAAGTGATAACTAATGTTGATATTGATTGAATTATTGGTTTAAAAGCATTTAAAGGCTATAGGTTCCCAAAAGACACAATTTATACAAATTTAATGCTATTTTTGGGCTATGAAAGTGTTTGCATGCATGTGAATGCTCTACAGTTCAGAAAGCCTGAATTAGGGCAATAAAGACCAAAAACAAAAGGAGAAATTCATTTTTTTTTTTTAATTTTCTTTATACTCAGAATCCCCATCATTACCTCTGTTCTAGCACTCTTCATGTTGTTTACACCCACACCATTTGACTTCTTGACTTCTGAACTGCTTTTATACCCAGGGTCTATCGTAATGTTTAGCTCTTAGCAGGCCTCCAAAAAAAATGCCTTTAGAATGATCGAACAAACGTCTTTAGGAACTTGCCCCTTGATTAAAGCCAATATTAGTTTAATTTAGACTACCTTATACTTTTTCACTTTTAAGCTATACTCAAGGAAACATATGGGCTGTTATTGATTGAAATATATCTTTGTGTTATAATAAATGGCCCAATTCAGCATATCTGAAAGTGTGTTTTAGTTGGGTTGCCTCTGAAAAGCACCACTTGGCAAAGTGTTCTGTTGTTTTCCTTAAGTGACAGTATATCTTTTGGGACTCTCCTAACTATTGCTACAACTCATACCTACTTTTATAATTGTAATTTTACTTTTATAAAAGTCTTAGTTAAATGAGTCCTTTAAGTTAGTTGAATTATTGTATTAATTTACAGTAGATCATTAAATCATACTTCTAATGAGAAATACAAAGGAAAAAAGTTACAGCATTTAAAGAAACAAAAATTTCTTTATGATTCTTGCAAAAGAACCTTGAGAAAAGGCAAAATTAGGTAGTGGATTAAGCAGGAGATAGGAGAATCTATAAGACTACTGTTTTCTACCACCAGCTTTGAATAAACACCTTGGATCACCAATCTTTGCTGCAACAGTTTAATTTATAGTTCCTTATTCATTTTTTATTTTATAGATTTGTTTTTATGCATAAATAATATAGTCATGTGCTGCATAATGACATTTCAGTCAACAGCAGACCACATATATGATGGTGGTCCCATAAGATTAGTACCATATAGACCAGGTGTGGAGTAGGCCATACCATCTAGGTTTATGCAAGTTCTATGATGTTCATTCAGTGACGAAACTGCCTAACGATGCATTTCTCAGAACATATCCCCATCATTAAGCAACACATGGCTGTACAAATTTGTTGGGGTCAGAGTTGATAGGTACAATATACTTGGCATATAGTTAAGTATTTGGATTTTGTTGAATAAATTACAAACTTTTAAGTAGTATAGGTAAAATGTTATACCAGATAGTGTCATTAAGGGTTCTGAATAATTAATCTCTTTTCATGTTTGGATGGCTTGCCAGAATAACATTACTTTATTATATTTGAAAAGAATAATGATATTAAGCACTATGTGATACCACCGTGCACCCACCTTCAGAACTTATATTTTAGCTAGGAAAAAACACATGAAACAATTAGTAGGTAGCCTAATAATATATGTGATTATATATTTTGGAGGGAGGGGAGGAGATGCTTAATGGAGGAGCAAAGTTAGGGTAGGATTTCCAAGGTTTCCACAGGTACAGTAGAAATAGTGTTCCTGGCAAGGGACACTAACTTATGCAAGGTATGCTCATGAATGATATTTGTGATGGATAATAGTGGCAGTGAGAAAAATAAAGCTACAGGGAATGAAAGAGAAAAAGAGGATTTCATAAAGCCTTGAAAACCAGATAGAAGAGATTAGATTTGATGCTGAAGGCAGTAAGGAGCCTTTGAGGTCTGGAGCAAAGGCCTATCGTAATGAAAGCTGTGACGGAGGCTTGTCTCACTGTAGAATGCAGTGACTGCAGGAAGAGCAGAGTCAGGGAGACACCCCACATTTCCCTCATTATTACAGCAGAATGAGTAACCCTGTATATTGAGGTCTATGGTCTGATTCTCACTGCAGCTATGATGTTCAGCTAAAGTCCCAAATACAGGTCAAGTTCATTAATTCTTCCAAGCAATCATCATTTTAGTCCCAACTACAAATACCCTAACCGTGCCTCACAAGTAAAAAGTTCTCCTACAACCAAATAATTCAGATGCTTCCGAGTTTTAAAAAGTAAATAGATTGGGGCCGGTCCAGTGGCACAGCGGTTAATTTCGCAGGCTCCGCTTAGGCGACTGGGCTTAACAGGTTCGGATCCAGGGTGCGGACCAACGCACCGCTTGCCAAGCCATGCTGTGGTGGCGTCCCATATAAAGTAGAGGAAGATGGGCATGGTTGTTAGCCCAGGGCTGATCTTCCTCAGCAAAAAGAGGAGGATTGGCAACAAATGTTAGCTCAGGGCTGATCTTCCTCATTAAAATAAATAAATAAATAAATAGAGTGAATCACACCATATACTATCCTAAGAATTGAGCAGGAATCAGGTGAAAAGCAGATGAGAGCATATTGTGTATGAATATACTGAAACACCAGACACTGCAAAGCAGGCCTAAGAACATTCCTGACATGTAGAGACTAGAGTAAATTTGAATATGCTTTCAGACAGCTAATGATATCAAAGGAAGATATGACCTTTCAAATGGTGTCTTAAGGCACTATGGCTATAGGTTCTAATTTCATCCCTTCCTGAACAATCTACTAGGAGAGAAGAATTCCTCCACTTAGACATTCCAGCATAAATCATTTCACAAACAAAAGAGGCGTTTTAGGTGGCTCTATAATGCAGAGGACACAGTAATCCTCCATTCTGGGCACAGCAGCAAGTCTGAACAGGAACAGGATTAAGATTGTGTACTATAGGCCTCTCTGACATTAAACAGATCAAGTTGATTATATACAAATGATGTTCACACAGGGGTTTAAAAACCTTTGTGAAAATACACATCTGTTGACAATTTTCAAGTTGTTTATTGGAAATCATAGATTTATTTTTAAAAACCCACTAATTACTTTGCCATACAAGAGCAAAATTCAAATAATATAAATATTTAACAGTTTGGTATAAAATTAATAATATGGAAAAAAGATGCAAACCAACCAAGAGGTAAAAAGTTTTTAGCAATAACACTGTGTACAACCATCTTCTACTCAAGGGGACAGACCAGGCTGATAGTTTATCTTACCTTTGTTGACGATTTTTAAAAGACAACCCTACGTTGGAGCACCAAAAAGTTTTTTCCTTCCTTTGTAAAAGGTTGGAATCCATTTATTTACAAATATTCTTCTCAGTACTTTAAGTCTGATGAAGGAAGCATCAGGCAATTTCCTTCTTATTAAAAAAGGAAGTGCCTTCATATTTTCTTTAAATTTAAATGTTCCATTCTATTCTAAGCAAAAATAAAAAGATGAAGACAGTTGAGGAGATCTCTTTTGCAAATAAATAACTGTTTCACAAAAGTATTTCTGTAAACAAGATCATTTTGATGGCCAGAGACATTGATGTTTTCAACCAATGGCAAATTTAAACAGTTACAAGTTTAGATACACAGGGTATGTATGGCCAAAAGGCAAACGGTTATTCAAGAATCAACTGCTAAAAATTAATTATAAACTTGCTTTGTCGAAATGTGCTTTTGTTCTCTACAGTTTTTAAAATTGGTCAGAAAATTTAAACTGTAATGATCTAAAAACCCTGAACCTATTCTGAAAATAACTACAGACTACAATGTTTGACACTGTAGTTCTGACATTAGATAAAAATTCTAAATTATCTGAGCAATCAATGTAAACAAGCTTCAATTTTCAAAATAGAAAAAAAATTTCCGTAAACATTAAAAACCTACCTGCAAAAAAATTATATATATCATTATCCAGTTGTGTATATTGAGAATTCCTTTTTAGTTCTGTTTTACATGTTTCAAACATCATCATCTAATTAAATGAGACATCTTAGTTTTCCCTAATGGGTGCCTCTGCAGCCAAAGGTTTTAGAATCAGTTCAACTGCTTTTGCTGAAGTCACTATTTTGGCTTTCATATAATCCCCCTAACAATAGACATCACCTAGTTCTTTCTGTAGTGAGAGGAGGTTGTTTGCATCATGGCCACATTTTTATCCTGCTTTGTAAAATAAATGTAACTGACTCTATGAGATCTCAGCCCCAGCTCTTTGATTATAAGGAGCATGCAGCTTTACAAATGCATTAAACCTCATTCTGGCAACTTTTCTATCACTTTCATTCTGCTTTCAAGTTTGAGATATTGAAAAGTCTTCAACTTCATCACCTCTGCTAGTCATTTTGATGAAAGAATAGATTTTTTGTAGATACTGTAGCTTTGATTTGATGTTTAATACTCTCACTTTTAAAATCTGAACTTGGAACAAAGTACTGTAGTTTATGAGACCTTGTTAGGGAGGAGTGGACTATTCAGTAACTATTACAATAATTTAGACACTAAGAATTTTATTTTATAAATTATGGAGAGGGGCAGGCCCCGTGGCTTAGTGGTTCAGTGCACGCGCTCCGCTGCTGGCGGCCCGGGTTCGGATCCCGGGCGCGCACTGACGCACCGCTTCTGTGGCCATGCTGAGGCCACGTCCCACGTACAGCAACTAGAAGGATGTGCATCTATGACATACAACTATCTACTGGGGCTTTAGGGGGGAAAAAAAAATTATGGAGAAAGAGGCTTTTAATGTTCTATCTTTTCTTTTGAATTCTTCTCCATTATTCTAGTCCTCTGTGCAAACTACATTCAAATAACTACCTTAAAAACAGACTGATATTGAATATTTAAAAACCAGTTGAAAAACTCCTTAAATTAAAATCAGCTTATTTGAATTAACAATGATTTTTCCCTGGAGGAGGACCCTATGGGTAACTAACTGCCCATGTTTTGTGTCATTTCCTAATAATCAAAACAAACCCATTTAAGTACCACTTAAGGCAGAGCTAATGACTTCTCAAATTTCACATTAAACTTTAAAAAAAAGATATAAATGTATTGTAAATGACTCCAACACTATCTAGGGAAAATAGCTACATGGATGTGACAATAAGTGATTTGGCTGTTTATAAAGAAATTGTGTACATCGTCCTAAATCTCCTCTGAAGGAGACTTTCTTTTACCAAATTCATGTACTTTCTTCTATGCCAATCCTCCCCTGCTCCCACCACTTCTGTCAAAGGCTCTTAAATATACACTTGTATACCTGGTGAACAATGAACAATATATTCATTTCTTTGAAATGTTGTACTATACATTCACTTGGTATTCTCCAAAAGCAGTTATTCTGACACCAAGGCACCTTAATAACATCTCTACTCCTCAAATATACATGTGGCATTAAGTGAGAACTTAAATTTCCCTTTAGTTTTGTTTTCATAAACCTTTTCTAAAATATAAATTCCTTGAAATGAATTTAGGCAATGAAGTAGATAAGTCACATTGAATAGCTTCTAGAATCAGAGAAACATTCTGATAGACTGGGCTTTCAAAATATTTGTTTTTCATAATCATTTCACTTAGGATATAGACAAACAAAGGTTTTTTGTCCAGGTTTGGCTCAGTGACAGTGAAAACAGACAACATTCAAGTACTATTAGAGAAAGGCAGCCCTACAAGGATATGTGTCCATATAGGTCAATCTGCAAAGGAGGACTATCTTAATTATCCTGCAGTATATTTGACCAAAAAAACCTTTTGAAATCGTTTTTACTTTCGGGTCTGTGGCAGCCTTCCAAAGGTCCTGAAGGTCTTGTACATGTCCATGAGATGTCATCATTTTATCGTAGATGCAGGGATGATAAGGAGTTTTACCTTCCCCAGAGAAAAACACATGGTATTGTGGTACTATCCCCATTTTATTGGCACAGAGGCCCATGAACACATCGTCTATGTAAAGACTAGAGTTAATCGTCTGTGATGCCTCATAGACTTTGGCAGCTACATCATTGGAGATCACATAGGCAGCTCCAGCGGTATAGTCAGGGTAAGCTGGCCACTGGTACATTTCATAGGAGACATAGTATTTGCTGCTTTTGTCTCTAACGGGAGGGGCACCGAGATGAACACGACCAATCCAAAAGTCTTGAACACCAATTTGTGCTAAACTTTGAAGGTATTCAATAAGATTTGGCATGTGAATAAATATGTCATCATCAGCAGTCATAAGGAATTTGGCATGTGGACAAAAGCTATTTGCCCAACTGAACTGCAGAAGTAATTTAAGAGTAAGATTGTAGAAAGAATCCACAAAGTCTTGCTGAATTATATCATTGTACGTTTGATCTTCCCACACCAGGTTTCTTTGCAGTTCTTCTCTGGTCAGTGGGTTAAAAGGTGTCCCTAAGGCAAACAGAGTTTTGATGTTGGCATTAAGTTGAGACCGAACATACTCCTCATTGCCCCACGTTTTTCTAATTGCAGAACGTCGGTCGTAGTTTTCAGGAGCAGTCTTTATAAACAGTAAAAGGAGAACATCTTGTGCTTGACACTTCTCCTTGTGGTTGATCAAGTATTGATAGCGAGTAGCCCCATCCATGCTGTGCTTAAGAGACAGGCTATCGTTCACGAAGTCATAGCTGTTGATGAGGTATCTGTACGAGTAGGACTTCATATGGCTCACAACGAGATTATCAGTCGTTCCCCAATAAAACATGAAGGTTAGTATAGAACTAATGGCAAATAAATTAACAAGCTGCCATATTTTTACTCTTCTGCTACTAACAAACATTCTGACAACCATCATTCAGGTCTATTTTTATTTAGGATCAGTTTTAAATGGGTGTCTTCAAGACCATAGAACTTTGTCTTCTGTAGAAAGGATGTCCATCTTAATACACGTTGGTCATTAAAAATGTATAGGGAGATTCTTATTTCACAAAACGTTTTCTTTTAGTACCATTTTTTCTGATTGCAAAAGAATGGAACACACCGTAGAATGAGGACACTGGCACATCAAAATGGTTCCACCCCGGCATCCTTCATTAAGTTCGGTGATTGGCCTCATGCAGCTAGTCCATCTACTTCTTTTTGTGAAGGTTAAGTGTAGCCTATTAGAGTTACGAAGAGAAAAGATGACAAGCGAATGGGTTAGTGAGTTACCAAAAAGAAGCAAACTACTCTTAATTCCTTAAAAACTAAATGTAACCTGACTGATTTAGACAAAAGGTGATGAGACAGCTAGTATTTAGCAGAGGCACACAGCTGTTTATTTTTTTAGAAGAGTACAGGGAAAAGGAAAGAACCACTCTCCTGTCTTCCCATTCAGAATACAGAGACGCTTTTCTCTTTTCAACCTTTAAAAAAAGAAAAAGCCTGCAAAATGGATATCAACTTATATGCTTAAAGTTCAAATTTCTCAAATGCATATATCCATGAATATATTGACTTGGAATATAGTCAGGGTGAAAGGAACTATATAGTTCAAGGAAAAATACTGCATGAAAAGAAAGTTCATAATAGTAAAAATCCACTAAAGCTTGCCCCAGACAAGGCAGGAATAAGAGTAAGATTTTTTTTTTTAAGTTAAGGTTCATAATCAAGGATTCAAGATATGCTTCTCAAAAAGCACAGTCCAAACTCTCTCTAACCAAAATGACTTTTGCGAGTCTCAAATCTATACAGTCATCTTCTTTCTGTACTTTTTCATTTGGAAACCTAACAGGCACCTCAAATTTAACATGTTCAGAACTGGGAAGCCACAGGATGATAGCCAAAAGCACTATCTTTGTACTCAGGCAATTTGGTCACCAGTCAACCGGCTCAGCCATTTACTACTTGTTCTACCGTATCATGCATCTAACCCAGAAATCTGAAAAATGGGAATAGCACCGCTTAACTCAAAGTCTTTATGCAGATTAAATGGGAACATACATAGATACATAGAGGAAGGTAGATAGATAATTACCTGGCACACAGGGGTACTCAGACTCAAATGCCATTTGTAACCCATTCTACTGTCTTCTCTCCTAAAACCTGCTGTTTCCATTTGCTCTTTATTTGTGTCTGAGTGCAGTTCATGCATCTATGCCAGAAATCTGAACGTCTGCCCTTTCCTCCACTTCCACATCCAGTTATTTAATCCTGTGAATTGCTTCTTCTACATCTCTCTGCACCCTTTCATGTCATCATCACTTCTCGCCCAAAGCAGTGCAGCAGACTAAAGGGTTCCTGGTCAGCCCATCCCCTCTCTGCAGTCAGCGACCTTTCCAAAACTCACATCTAACCACCAGACTAACTGAGCTCTTTAAACCCCTTCAGATGCTCTCCACTAGCTGACAATACCAAATGGTCACACGGAGAAGTGTCACACCGAAAGCTCAGCCACACCTGCTACTTCATACACGCCGGCTCTGGCACCAGCACCCCTGTGGCCTGGCAAGCCCTAGTCCCCTTGCTGATGAGAAGGCTACTAATCCTGACTAAGTTCTACAGGCATCCTTCTCCGGGAAGTCTGAACTGCTCCCCCCTAAAGATGTTTCTTATCTGTATTGCCACAGCACCTTCTTACATCCATCTTCCCATACTGAGACTTTGTAACTGCCTCCCCAGTTACACTGTGAACTCCTTGATACAAGGCAGGATGTAGATACCCTACGCTCAGCATCCAGGTCAGCGCCTGACACCTAATAGGCGTTCTCTGAATGTTAGTGCAAAGAACCGTGCTGGGGGTGGGGCCACCTTAAAGAACTGGGGGTCAGGATGCCCAGTCAGTCACGTGGCCTCCCTTTTCTTCCACCACTAGGAAACAGCACCTCCCTTCCTCAAGGATTCTGTCCCAAGTGCTTACCACAAGTAAGACACATCCTTCTGCCTGGAGAAGTAGGCTCTCCCCTCAGGGCTGACACATCAGTCCCCTGGGCTTTCCACAGATTGACAGGGAAAGGACAAAGAAGGCTCTACCCAGTGCAGTGCAGGCTGGCTGGGCAGCCAAGCCCACAACACAAGGCCCAAGGCAAAGGCCCTGCTTTTGTGCCCGAAGACCTCATCCTCAAGTTCTCTGCCCTTTGCCCCTAATATAAAACCAACTGCACACATTGAGAACACCCTGCAGTACCAGCCTAGCCCTGGCTGTGCGACTTCCTTCCCATCATCGGGCTTTTTGCATCCAGCTGTTTCCCATCCCCCTAAGACTGCTCCCCATTAGGGTGATAACTGCAGAGGCCAGGCATGCAAAAAGTCCAAGGGGGACTGGAGATTACAGCCAAGCCCCACTCAGACTTTGTCCAGAGATAATCAGCACAGTAACATTGTATCCCCAGGACATAGATTTTAAAAGTACTAGAATCACAACCAGCATTTAAAAAAAAAAAGGAGAAAGAAAAAGAAAGAACAGAATAGAGAATGGCAGAGTGTACTGAAAGTAGGAAGTATAAGTATTCTTTTGTGAAACTGAGTTTTTTGTCTGTGTGCCTTCAGGGTTGTAACGTAAAATGTATTGTTATTGTGCTTTACCATCAAAAAGGCAAGAAATACTGCTCTAAGGGATAGATGGATATCAGTCATTTCCTTCTTGGTAAGGTGAGAAAGACAGCAGAAAACATCCGTTTCTGATGGTGGCATCAACCTAAACTTGGCAAAATCACTTTAATTGGTGGGGGGGCACTTGCTCTCAGTCGTAAGTGCTCTCTTTGAGAACGGCCCACCTCTGAAGGCCGAAATCCCCTTCTGCCTCCTCCATGATACATACTGAAGGAAATGGAGGCTTAACACAGGGCAACAGAGAATTCTTAATGGCAGATTTTAAGACAGTACAAGTGTTTAAGAATTCTAAGAAAATTCTCAAGAAACTAATCTGCAGTCTCTATTCCAGCAGACCCTGGGAAGGAAACAAAGGGGAGAGTAATCTTTGGAACCACAGGCAAAACTAGCTTCCCTTTTCTGTGCAGCTGTGCCCAGTATGTTCCAATGCCAGCTCGCTTTGCACCTATTCACAGTTGTTTACAAGTCTGAGCTTCTTGCGGACAATCAGCCCACAAGCCCAACTCCTCCAGCACCCGCCTGCACACACGACTCACAGAGGCCCTAGTATCTCGCCAATGAATGGGGTCTATTACTCATCCACTTGGTGTGTTGCTGCTGCTAACATTGCTACTACAACCTAGCGGCCAGCCTGTAACATTCATTTTATCCTCCCTCCCCGCTGCCATGTATGTATTTACCTTATTTTCTTATATTTCTTCAACTGTTTCCACTTGACCTGAAAGAGTCGAAACAGTTTTCTGAAGAATGACAAAGAAGCTGTCATGAAGCCAACAACCCACACTACTTATTTAGGTTCAGTACAGCATGTGAAGTTCTAAACCAAGATCTCTCTACCCTCAGCAGCTTGAATTGTTTAGCCACCGTTTACATCAGTCATAACCAAATCTCACTGGTAGTACTGATTTGACGAGGGGGAGATTTAGGAAAGGTGAACTATGCTTTTATGTTACCCAGCTTCTCTTTTATAACCAAGAACAGCCAAACTCCTCCCAATTGAACACTGTCACTAGGTGGCCTTTCCCAACCAAAAACAAAAGCACCTCCATGACCTAAATTCCTTAATTACAACTAAACAATGTTGCCCCAGCTCCGGCTTTGCTGATGGAGATCACGCACAGGCAATCGATGCTCACTCCTGGTTTGCACAGCGTCCTAGAGCTTCTCTAAAGCACATCTTCCAGCTTCAGTATTCAGAGTGCTGGAGAGAGGACTGGGGAGAAGCCACAGGCCTGCCCAACCTGGAGGAAGAAAATGCTGGGCCTTACAGGAACAAAGGATCCCAATAATGCATGTGAAGCTCAGCAACGTCCACAGCGGAACGCTGGGGGTGCCGCTTCCTTTGTGCGCCCGCAGCACAGCGCAGGTCAGTGACCAACCAACAGGCCAGAAACTCCAGGGCTACCCCTGTTGGCCACCAGATTCATTGTGTAACCTCGGGCACCCCTCACTGCACTCTGATTTGGTGATTTAACCTGCAAATTGGGGGCAAATATCCATGTCCTGTTACTGAGAAGTAAAAATTACAGATGACTTCAGAGCCTGCTGAAACTAGGAATCAAGAAAGACTATAGCAGGGGCCGGCCCCATGGTGTAGCAGTTAAGTGCACACGCTCTGCTGTTGGCGGCCGGGGTTCGGATCCCAGGCACGCACTGATGCACTGCTTGTCAGGCCATGCTGTGGTGGAGTCCCATATAAAGTGGAGGAAGATGGGCACAAATGTTAGCCCAGGGCCAGTCTTCCTCAGAAAAAAAAAAAAAAAAGAGGAAGATTGGCATGGATGTTAGCTCAGGGCTGATCTTCCTCACCAAAAAAAAGAGAAAGACTATAGGAGAGAACAGGACAAAGAACTGCTTAGAAAAAAATATGCAGGTATGTGGGAATATAGCTTGGGTTTGCTTCTATTTGGATTGAGAAGGAACAGATATACTTAGTATTCTCTTTCCCTAATAGACAGTAGGCAGAAGGATAAAGAATACAAGTTGAGAGGGTGGCAGACCCCACTCCAAATACTTTTCAGTCTGGGAGCCTTGCCCCTCAGTTACTCAAAAGGATATTTCTTCACAAGAGAGCTCTTTAAACTTTCTTGGAAAAAAACTAGTTACTGCACCTAGAGGCTACAAGTTTCCCTATAATGACTCCTAATTTTTTTTCTACTTCACCCCTGCTGTCATCTCATTTCTTTGTTGAGTCTGTTTTTGTGATCCTAAAATATTATGTAAAACCTGCTATAAATTTTGAAGTTTTAATCAAGATGGGGAGGTCTGCACTTTAAGTCCAAATTAAACTAC